GCTGTGTATAATGCATGGCCTTTAGGCTGTTTTAACTCCTTCATGGAAATCCTCTCCCCTGTCTGATATCCCCTCTATATCTCTTACCACCCTTCTCCACCCCATCCCTAATTTCCTTCTCTCTTTCTTAAAGGAAAAAAATGGCAATTTCCCTTACTCTCTTACAAAAGACTTTGTCACAGAGAGGAATCACTATTCACATGAGCCATGCGGCATTGTATGGCAGAGCGTCATCCTGCATCAAGAAGCAAGTCTCCAGAGACGTGTTAATTCCACCCAGCTTTCTCCACTCCGTCCAGCCCCCACCCCCCATTGCATCCTGAGACCTAGTTTCCCCATCTGTAAAATGGGGATAATTACGCCTGTTTCATATGGTAGTGCAGATTAAGTTGTATAATGTAAATAAAATGCTTAGCATTATAGTTAAATGCTTAAGCAGTAGGGTCCATCATTGTGATTATTACTGTAGTAATAATTCTGGACTCCTAGGTTTCTTAGTCATTCAATACATATGCACAGAGTGATGTAACCATGGATAAGACACTTGATGACTCTGTGCCCCATTTTTCTCACCTGCTCATGGGGAGGACTAATGCCTGCACCACCCCCACACTAAGGTGTTAGGAAATCAAGATGCCCCAAGTTACTTAACCTTCATTAGGATTTACATTTTTCTTAAGTACAACTTGTCAAATGAATTAAGTGCCTAACATTACAGAATCAGAATATTTGGATCAGTCCAGAAGAGATGTTCTTGTGTACTTTGTCTGCCACCCAGAAATTAAATCAGAGGAGAGAGAACACAGGTTTAGAGGAACAGACTGATGAATCATTTGCACATGTGTGTTTTCCCCTAAAGAAAACAAAAATTAATAGGACCACGCAAAAAGTACCTGTTTGCTGACATGCAAATTGAGGTCAGAAGCAGACACAGATTGCTCATGTAATGCCCACCGGGATGCATGGGGGTCACTTTTCAAGGTGCCATGGCTTTGGTGGCTGTGGTGAGGATGGAAGCACTACTCGCATTTCATTTACACTGGACCAGAGGCAAAATGGAGGACAGACATGCTGGTTTGACATGCTCAGAGCAGGACAGCAGGAGCCTAGCATATTGTCAGATCAGGACCAAAGAGATTGTGTGTGATTGTTTATTCATTCATCTGTTAATTCATTTATTCAGTAACTGTTGAGTACCTGTGATGTTCTGGGTGTCGGCTTTATAGTAGGAAGAACAAGCAGATAACACCCTTACCTACCCTTGTGAAGTTTACATTGTATGGGGAAGACGGACATTCAATGCATTATGTAAATAAGTAAACAAGGCATTTGTATGACATGACACTGGCCTATTTAGGTGGGGCCGGACCATGCAGGACTTGGCCACGCTGTTCCTCACCTGCACTGCTCAACGAGCCTGCTGGCTGAAAGGACTGGCTTGGACAAGAGTCAACCGATGAGGACAGAAGAGCCAGGAGGGTTTAAGATGTTTAATTAATAATTTAAAGACAAGAGTGACAGGACTGTCAAAAATGAGGAAAAGAAAAAAATACCAAGAGAGACTCCTAGTTTCAGCAGCTGGGTGGATTGTGGTGCCATCTTCTGAGGCTTCTGTGTGAAATAACTTGGCTGGCCTCACTCAGCTAAGACACTGAAGTCTAGTCTTGTGAATTCACCAGGATTTGATTTCCAATTAAGTTCCCATCTAGATTAAATTGTTAATATAAAAATATCCTGAGGTATTAATTAATATTGTTAGACCCTAGTATTTTGATAAACAGCACTATGAGGGAATAAGTCTTTCATGTCAAAACTCACAGTCAGATCTTGTGTGTATTTTTTGTGTGCAAACAAAAGAAAAGGTGATTTGGGATTTTGTTCATTTTCTCTTTTTTTTCTCACCATGTTTTTCCGGAGTCTCTCAGCAACATGGTAATTTGTTCTGTAAAGTAAAATTAGATTATAAACAGTTACAATCCTGAGCTAAGACGCAGAGCCCAAACAACAGAGTGCTTCGAGTGAAGCTCCTGGTCAGTTTTCCATCATACCTGGAGCTGTCACTCAAACATGGGCAGCTTTCTATAGAAAGGGGGTGGTGACATTTCAGTGACCCTAAGCACTGCCCACAACTCATCCCGCCATCCGGGTGCTCCCTTTTGGCCAGGTCCAGGATTCTGTTGACAAGGGGAGTCCCCAGCTTCTCAAGGCAGTACATTCCTGAAATCCATGTCCTAAGGTGGATCTTTTTTACCCATAGAAACAAGGGGATTGTGTTCTTGAGAAAGGAATTGGCAGGCAACTAATCCTAAATATATCCAATAATGTGTGAGTAAAGCACAGCAGCCACGCTCCAGCATCTGTCATCAGTAAGCCCCTTATTGGACTAAAAGACCCTGAGTCAGTTAGGACACCATAAGGAACACAACAGTGTTATCAGAGAGCAGGAAAGGCATTGGACGCTGCACAGAACAAGGCGGTGCTGGCCGGCCCAGCGGCTCTGTGACGTCTCAGGGACCCGGGCCCACACGCCTGTGCATGACGCCTTGACCCTGAGGCAGAGCGTCTCACAGTTGCACGACAGCTTCTGCAGATCTGAGAAGCACATGTGCCAGCAATGGACCAGAGCAGCAGGTCGTTTTTCTGCACAGGTCTCCTTTAGTGAAAGAGGAAGCCTTTCCCAGAAGCCCCAAGCCGACATTAAGTCTTTGTTCATGGAGCCCCCAGTTCCCCCAATCTGGATGCCGGGACATTATCCTAGACTCTTCTCCCTCTCCCTTATTTCCTTTATTTTCTATGGCTTATCCATTCTGGTTTTGAATAATCTGCTTACTACCCTCTATCTCCATGTGTACTATATTAATTTCGATCCTTATTAACTCTACCTTTCTCCCTGCTTCCAGTTTATCTTCTACATAGCCACTCAAATGATCTTTCAAAACACAAATCTCATCATGTCACCATCCTGCTTAAAACCTTTTGGTGGTTCTTAATCACATATATGATTAAATGTCTTTTTTGTCTCCTAGCTGTAGGTATGACCTCTCCCTTCCCTTAAAAAAAAAAAAATCTTACATGGCAGCCCAGTACAGCTAGCAAGTGGGTGTAAGCTGCTACGCTGAAATGGCAATGGGGAAGGGCCCCCAGCCTGGTGTGCCCGTCATTTCCCTTACTGGAGGCCCCAGAGCCTTTCCCTGGATCTTCTGTCATACAGGTAAATGGAAATGCCTGCCAGGGAGTTGGTCTAGACCTCAGGAGTGGCAGCCAGGCTAGCAGCACAGACGAGATAGCAATGGAAGCCAAGGTCAAGAACGTGCTGTCTCAGAATGTGCAGAGTGAGAAGGGAAGAGGGACAGCTCCAAGTCTTATATTAATGTAATGCCCCCCAGCCCTGCAAAATCCAATAAAATAATGTTCTTGGTCACCCTTCAGTCTTTTAAGAATGTGACTTACATGCTCTAATTGGGCTATGTAAGTTAACCCAATAGGTGCTTGAGGACCAACGATGGATGGTTGAAACTCAAAATGCAACTAATACCCAAAACTGAGAATAATGATTTCCAATTATATGATTGTTCTTGTATTTACATTTTCATTCTTATGGTTCTTTTTAAAGGTAAAAGGTCTTTGATTTGCTAAGGTTAGTCTTTTTTTTTTCCTGTCACAAAGCTTTTCATATGTATCAGAAATCCTGAGTTGACCAACATTTCATGTGTTTCTATTTCTGATCAAGGCAGTTTGAGTTTAACAAGTTTAAGAATGGAGTTCCCAACAGAACAATAATAACTGAGTATGTTAATTATTCTAACTATTCTCCCTGCTTTTGATATTGAATTATATTTATTTTTATGCTTATTTAAAAATTCAGTCTTTAGAGCTGTTTAGATGCAATCTCACGGAATTGGACCTTCTAAATGAGGAGGGAGAATTAATGAAGACTAATTGATGCATAATTTTAACAAGCAAAGGCATCATCTGTTTGAAGCACCACCGGAATGGGCTGTACATTCAGCTGGTCTTTGCATACTCACTGACACTCTCAGAGGGAGGGAGGAGAAAGGCGCGGTGCTGGACAGAGAGCACCAGGCGGGTAATAAGGGTCGCCTCCCAGTAGAGCATTTGCTTTTATTCATTCTCATTCCAAGAAGGTTTTGAGGTGAGCTTGTTCTGTTGTGTCTTGTATGGACTTTTCAGGGGGCCTTTTTCATTCAGCTTTTCAACATCTAGGTGCTGGGGATACAAACTTACATTCTGGAATTGTGGTGGGGGTAATGAATGGAATGGACAGACATTAACATGAAATAAATAAGTAAAAATAAGATCTTCAGTCTTGCTTCCCTTCTGATTCTGACCACCCCCAGCCCCCACCTCCTGTCTACCTCATTTCCATCATTACTGTAGGTTTTTCTGCTTCTACCTTTAGTCTGCCCCCATCACACCATGGGCCTGGCCTGTTCCTGGCCACCAGTCTTTGCCATCAGACTGTAGCAACAAGCTTGCACAGGCAGCTCCTTCCTGGCTCCCCGTGGCTGCACGGCATCTGGCTGTTGGCATCTGTCATTTACTGGCTCTTCCAGGCCCCACAGCAGAGGAGCCCACCTGACCCCTGTGCACCCCACTTTCAGCTGAGACTTCACAGAAACTTGGCACCAGTGAGAAGCAGAGAATATGTACCAATTGTCTGAAGCTTCAAACTGATTTATTCTTTCCTAATCCTTTTAAATGTGATATGTGTTTAAATTAAGAGTGGCAAAGACAAAAATGATTTGGGAAAATGATAATGTTATCCTAGCCTGTCTCAGTGGCACTCTAACATGGTTAAGAAAATTGACTGTCAGGTTTGATCAGTGTTGTTGAAGTGAAGAGCCATCATTCCCAGATTGGCTAGCATCAAATTCTCTCCCAGCAGAAGGAGTTTTAATGACTGAAGAACCCAGGAGCCACGAGCAGCAGCCAATCTCATGCAGGCCTGACCCTGCACTGCCTCTTTTTCTGTTTTTCAGGCACAACGTGTCTGATCGCTCTGCTCTCCGAGAAGGACCTCACCGTGGCCAATGTGGGCGACTCTCGCGGGGTCCTATGTGACAAGGACGGGAACGCCATTCCTTTGTCTCATGATCACAAACCTTACCAACTAAAGGAAAGGAAGAGGATAAAGAGAGCTGGTGAGCTTGCAGATGCCTCCAAGGGCTGTCGGCGCCCTGTCTGGTGGCTAGGGCAGCTTGCTTGGCTTGCCCCTGGGGGATACAATATTCAGTGACCTAACTAACCATCAGCAGATCAGTGCAGAGGCTGATCAGTGCTGAGGTAGCTGAGACTGGCCTTTATAATATTTCCTGTCAAATAAATGGCCTCCGAATTTGGCTGAAGACTCCAAATGGGCCCCCCTAGAGCCCTTTGCTAGTGCAAGGCTGGTATGACCTCTAGGCCCAGCTGTCATGTCCTGCCCGCCTTGGTCTCACTGAACTGCTCCCACGGGGCACTGCGTCCCTGGCTCCTCTGTGCCCTCACAAGTGCCATCCCACTCTCCAGGGGGTGACGACTATTTGTCCTGTATGACTCAGCTTAAGGGTGTCCTTTTGGAAACCTTCCTGGTCACACTGTGCCAAAGACACCCCCGTCTGGGATAGGTGGCCCTTCAGTCTTCCGCCAGCATCCTGTAGGGACCTCATGGTCCCCTCTCACAGTCCCTCCTGCCTTCCTGACCATGAGCTTGGGCTTGTGCATCGTGCTACTCGCTGCACCTAGCTCAGTGCCTGACATCAGTAAATATTTCAGGGGGCCTTTTTCATTCAGCTTTTCAACATCTAGGTGCTGGGGATACAAACTTACATTCTGGAATTGTGGTGGGGGTAATGAATGGAATGGACAGACATTAACATGAAATAAATAAGTAAAAATAAGTAACTTATCCAGTATATTACAGAGTGATAACTCTGAAGAGACATAAAAGAGATGTAAAGGATGGGGAGTGTCAGTAGATGGTCAGTACAGGCCTCACCAGGGGGACATTAGGACAAAGACTTGAAGCGTGAGTATCAGTTGATGATTACAATTTCATAATTCAAGTTGGGAGGATTCCTCTCTACCTGTGGGTGGAAGGAACCCTTCCCTCCCCAGACTGATTAATGCAGCTGGCAGGCTCTGTGTGATACGCCAGGTGGAGACCCAGCTGCCACAGGGGAGCTTGGCAGGCTGGGTCCCTCACCGGAGACCGGCCCCTGCTGCCCGCACCGCCTGCACCCTAACTCTCTCTGGCCTCAGCCCACCTTCTGCCTGAACCTGATGAGCATTTGAGTTTGCACCGAAGGAAACTGTACCATTAAGTTAAATGCTGAATTTTTACAACCTCCTGTTTCAGAGCCTGCTTGAGATGGAGAATACTTTTTAACGAAAGCTTTGGTCACATTTTCTGTTGGTGGTACGCAACCAACAATGTTTTAGGAGCATCTGTCAAGCTTTGATGATCCGCAGGCAGCAAGAGTGAAATACTCTGGCTTCCTTACTCACTTCAGAGTCTGCTGTGACCCTGCGCTGGAGATAGTTAGCCCACTGTTGTGTAAGCGCAGACAGGATATGTACGCAGTACACCTGGAAATGTCATCCTCGCTTCCAGCACTCTCTTCTGAAATCTACTGTCCTCCCTCCTCTTCCCCACCACCTACACCCTGTCCTGCAGGGATTGTTTACAGAAGCACATTCGGATCCATCTCCAAGGAAGCTAACTGAACCTCTTGTGTCAAGGGTTTATTTTATAGCAAGGCTTAAGGGACAATAATTAGTTTTATTGTCTTTATGTGTATTTTCTCTGACCTCAACCTTCCTTTTCCCTACCACTCAGCAGGACAATACACTGCAACCAGCTTGAGCTAAATACATGTTGGTCTTTCTGTCTCCTTTTTTTGTTTCAAACAACAATGATAGGAGCTGCCATTTATTGTGTGTTCACTCTGTGCTGGGAGCCGAGCACTTTATGTATACTTTCTCCTTATTTACCTTATAAGGTCTATAATGTTATCCTCATATTACACCCAAGGAGTTGAAGCCTCAAAGAAATATGTATGCCCAGAAACACACCACCAGTGAATGGGGACACCAGAATGGAGACCCAGGACTGTCTGGCAGCAGAGCCCTTGTTCTTGCCCAGTAGACCGCACCTCCTGGACTGTTCTCACCTAGGCCTGCCCAGAGAAGTCCTTCCCATCATTCAGAGGCCAGCTTTAATGCCCACTTGTCCCTAATCAGCACGACCAGAAACCATCCCTCCCTCCTCCATCTGCCTACAGCAGTTAGCAGGCACTGGTCTGTCTCTGAAGGAATATAGCTTTGTGCTCATAGCTGTTAATATGTGTGGCTTTTCCCTCTTGCCAGACTGTCTACTGCTTTTAGAGAAAGGTCTGGACCTTTTATAACTTTATAGTCTGTAAATGCCTTGCATAGAGTATATAGTTAATAACTATCTGACAAATAATAAATGGATGAGCAAGCGTTCTAGCTCCCTTAAGGAAAAATAATAGATAATACTGAGTGCATGTTACATTCAGTCACTGTGCTAAGTGATTTATATGGAATAACTCCTTTATTTCTCACAACTCAATGGAATAAGTACTATTATTGTCCCCACTTAGCAGCTGTGGAAATCTAGGATTAGGGAGATGGAGTGTCTCATTCAAAGTCATACGTAGCTAGAAATGACAGAGCCAAGAATCAAATCTAAGCAACTCACCTGAGAGTCTGAAGCTTTCACCATTAGGCTAAAATAGGCCAGTCTTTAATCCTGATCCTGCTTGGGGAGCTGTTTTGAGATCTATCAGGCACAGCCAAGGGTGGCCTCCAGCTAAGTGATGGATCCCAGTGGTTGTCTCTGGTACCCATCCACCTGCCGCTCAGCATTCTCTTGCCTCTCTCCTTGGATCCTCGGCCTCGCGCTGTCTGCTGTCAAGCTGCCAAGGTGTTGTTAAAACGATGTCTTCACCTATACTTATCTCCTACTCTCTGTATTCTTACTAACATATTCTTGAAAGCCTTGAAGATCCCAAGGAGGAGAGCGTGAGGATCTACCGGTAGAGCATGAAACCTCCAGCCAGGCACGTTGCTCCTTCCTGGCAGTGTGGGGTGGGGGTGGCACAGGCAGTAGGCCATCCTTCGGTGCACATGCCCAGACTGCCCCATGTGTGAGATACCTACTGGTCAAGCTAATGGGCTTCTTCTGTCTTTCCAGGTGGTTTTATCAGTTTCAATGGTTCCTGGAGGGTCCAGGGAATCCTGGCCATGTCTCGATCCCTGGGGGATTATCCACTGAAAAATCTCAACGTGGTCATCCCGGACCCAGATATCCTGACCTTTGACCTGGACAAGCTCCAGCCTGAGTTCATGATCTTGGCATCAGACGGCCTCTGGGATGCTTTCAGCAATGAAGAAGCTGTTCGATTCATCAAGGAGCGCTTGGATGAACCTCACTTTGGAGCCAAGAGCATAGTTCTACAGTCGTTTTACAGAGGCTGCCCCGACAATATAACGGTCATGGTGGTGAAGTTCAGGAATAGCAGCAAAACGGAAGAGCAGTGAATCCCTCAGGGTCTCAGCTGCCTGAGACTAATGGACTTTTCAACACACTGGTCTCTTTTAATGTAGTGAAAGGTGTGGGAGTTACAGTTAGGCTCATCCATCCCAGACTTGGGTTCCCCCCTCCCGGCGGCCTTAGGTCTCCATGCAGTGATGCACAGAGGGTGCTCTTGGCCAATGTAGTTGAGAGGCTGAAAAACGGTTTCTTCACGCTTTCCCAACTCTTCCATCCAATGTTCAAGATAAATAATTATATAGCTGTAGATTCACATGTACAAAGTGAGCGCCATATGTGCCATATATTCTCAACCTTTTAGGATTCTTTTCATAATTCCTTACCAGGCCCTCCAGGCAGGAGACTGGGTCCTCTTCTTAGAGCAGGGAGCAGAGCAGGCCAACCAGAGTTGCAGTGAGTCAGGGCCAAGGTGGCCACAGCCTCTGCTGAAGGGCAGAGCTGTCCTGAGCAGGCTTTTCCTCCTGAGCCCAGGTTTCAGCAGCAGCCCAGGAATAGGCTTGAAGTGGCTTATTAGTGTGTGGCTGCTTTTGGAGACTGAGGGAAGCGGGGATGATGAGAACTGCCTACACAGCAGAAATAACCTTTTTCCCTTCATCCCTTTATTTAAAGCAAAGTTAAATAGACTTTGTTACCCCCTGACCAGTCCTTGTACATTTTATCCTACTTGTGCATGCCCTTAACCTTTTGCTTACACCCTACTTTACATAATAGGCAGCTGTTCTACTTCACCACTAAATACTGCAATTTTTTGTCTCATGTTACCAAGAAACCTCTTAGGGGAAATGAAAAAGGCAAATCACCATACCATAATTCTTTCCATCTTCAAGAGTCAATAGAGGAAAATAATGGATGACTAAGTCACAGTGCCCTTGGGAAGGCTGCTGTTTGCACTAGGAGAGGAAGCTGGTGAGGTCACCACCCTGAACGGAGCTCTGGCTGCCAGTTTTTGTGCGGGTATTTTTTTTCTCTCCTATCCGAGTAGCTTTCAAGGGTCTTTTGAGCAGTGCTCTGAGAAGCAGCAGCCTAGAACTGCATGTGTGTTCCATGATGCCGAGTACACAGCTCCCAGAGTAGTCTGGAATTTGGTGGTGAACTCCTGGGAGCTGCTTCTCCTTGACAATGGAAAGGCAACAGCTTAACTAACAGTCTGTTTGCAAATCACCCTCCACACTGGGTTGCTCTCACAGGCAGAATCCCACTGCCTCATGTTGCCCCGCATTCAGTGGCAGCCAAGCTGGTTGGGAATTCAAGCTCTAAGCAGCCCAGAGTTATTTTGGGGTCAGGCTTGCTGTTCTCCATTTCCTATCACCAATGTCACATTTCCTATTGCCATATTTTATAAGTTAATTGACAGAAAATGTTGGGACATCCTGTTTGCCTGACTGAGGTGGCTCCAACAGCCAAACAAGATTGTCGTTGCATTCCCCCCACCCTGTGTCTGAAATGCCAGGGTGTCCACCTGGTGTTATCCGTCCCCAGTGGGCACTTATCAATAGAGCTTCTGTAAGGCCCCATTTGCTGAGCACCTCCCGCCCACAGTGCCCTTCCCCGCCCCTTCTTCAGCTGGGAACGTTCCTGACGCAGGTGCCAGGAGAGAACTCGGGAGGATAAAAAGATTCCCCCGCGGTGGCCAGGGACTACACTCTGTCTCGGTTCCTCCAGGCACTTGCCTTTCTTTGAGTGCAGTGAGAATTAATAATAGTTTCCCAAGACATTTGCTTACTTTTGTAAACTGTAACATTAGAATGTACAGTATTAGAATTAGAACTTTGGTTATTTTTTGTAGTTATAGGTGTTCTAGGAAAAAAGTATCTGCCAGCATTTTAGATTCAAGTATTTGCCCATTGAGAGACACCGAACATTTGGATGTGTGTCTTTGGGGTGGGGGTTGGGAGAGGAATGTGGGAAACATGCTGGCTGTGAGCAGTGACAGGATGGACAGGCCAGATGGCCTGAGCTTCCTTAAAGACCCACGACATCCTCATTCTGGAGTTACAAAAGCCCACCATCTAACTGAAGTTCAGGAATAAGCAGTTTCAGCATTTTACACTACACAGTTAACTTTCCTTTTTTATTTTTAACTTAATCCCAAAATTTGTAATGAGGGAAAGATTTTTTAATTCCATGAACATTGTTATTGTATAAATGAAAATAGTAATATTTTGGTGAAGATGAGAAAGAAAAGCTACCGTATTAGTTAATGTTTATTTACCCTGCATAATGTCTTACTAGATGGTGCTGAGTGCCCAAGTGCATGACTTGCCCTCTAATTGACGTTCACAAGACATCTTCTAAATTTTGCTTTGTAGAATTAATTCATTTCTGACTTTAACCACATAGTGCATGTATTCCCTGTTCCCTTTCTGCCTCTTTTCCTACCACTTTGGCTTGTAGATCTTTAAAAGATAGAAGCACTAAGCAAAATAGTAGCAGCTTGACTATTAGTCACGTCTAAAATCAGAGTACTTTGCTCCCTTGCCCTGTTCTGGATGGAGCTCTCTTGCGGACCCTTGTCAGCAGTTGAGGCTCTGCAGACATCACCCCCAGTGTGCCCTGAGGCTCACTGGCCACTCCCATTTTCCAGGGACAAGGGAAGGTTGAATCTAGCCATCAGAGAAATCTGACTTGAGAAGTTTGCATGTGAATCTTCCCTAAACAGCACTGCCAAAGCTTTGGAATTGTCACCCGAGGCTGCCCAGACTCCCTAGCCTGAGTTCGAATTGCCAATAGCCCCCATGGTGCCAAATTTTGGAATGGTTTTACTGGCTTAGAAATGAAGCTGGGTATGAATGACCTTGTGCTTACGAGCCCCCAGCAAAATGCCAAGCCCAGGTCCTCATTTCACGCACTGCTCTGCTGCTGCTCCACTGGCAATTTATACTCTTAAAATGGTATGGGAATTGCGGTGGGGGGAGGGACAAGGCAGGGAAAGTTTTAAAAAAAATCATTCTACTTGCAATTCTCTAATCTAAGGAATGAACAATACTCTGTACAAAGCTCCAGAGCTAGTCCCCAAGACCTCCACTTATTTTGTGTGACCACCTTGCCCAAGGCCCTTAACTCTGAAGGCCCTGTTCTGATCCAACATGACCTCACCCATATGTACATGTTACTGATAACCAGTGGTTACATCCTATTCCTTGTCTTAGATTGAAGGTCTTGGCCTCTTGAATCTTGCCTATGTAATAAGAGTGTTACAGAGAGTTTTTAGAGAGTAAAGGAGCAAACACAAATCTGCATAATTTAAAACAGGCTTTACTTCATAGGACTGTAATGATTTCAACTAACATTTTGTGCGAACAGGATAGCATGAGAGCGATGGCATCATCATTTCAATCCTATCTGAAGTAATTCTGGAAAATTGATCACACTATTGAATCAGATCACTGAGCTACCTGGCAATACATGAGAAATTTATCATAAGAGGAGTAATCACTTTTTCCTTTGCCAGGTGTAATTTGATTTTCTTTTTTTCCTTCCTGTGAGTTGTTGCCAGATCTCTCTTGCAACTGTGTCAGTCAGGTTTAGAAAGGCAACATTTCATTGTATATCTCAAGTATAAGAATACATACTCTGGATAAAGGTTTATTTACCAATGACTTCAGAAATTTTTCCCTCCTTTTGTCCCATCATTAGACTTATTTTCCCTTAATTATCTCCCAGATTGCCTTAGCTCATCACACCAGCATTCCTGACCCAGCTCTATGGAAATGATACCAGCTGGGGCCAGCTGGGGCCCATTTAACTGCCTCTGGATTAAGATAGTGATATCCAGCCTTTTAAATTGGTTAGCAGAACACTGAAGGAGTAACAGAATCCAGTGTTTCCCAAGTATGTTCCACAGAACACAAGTTCCAAAGATACTCATTGAAATATGGGGTTCAGATGAGTTTGAGAAACATACCAACTTAGAAAGTCAGTGCATATAAGCACATCCAGGGTTCCAATAAATATGTCCTATAGGGAGGAAAAACACATCACAAATGTAATTTCAGTTAGCTCAGTGTTTTCCAGATTAGATTGACCACAGAAACATTTATGAGTAACACCTAGTAATATTCCAAGGAACTCATGTTCCGTAAGACCCATTTGGGAAAATTCTGGTATATGGAAATATGACTGTTTTCTCATTCACTATGACTCTTAGAAGTATCCATACAATTTGCCATTTAGAAACACAATCCTTTCACATTTGAGGCCGACTGGTTAATGAAAGCAGTGTTGCCAAGTAGTATGATTTAATATGACCGTCAGCAGCCTCACACTGATAGCAGAAGACTAACAACCCTACTCGATGCTCTAAACATCATCTCCCTTATTTTATGTGAATAATAAGCAAGAGCCTTGCCATAGCTAGGAAATTCTCAAATTCATTCTAAGAGCTTTTGGTTGCTTTTGTGAAGTTATCTTTGCTTTCCAGATTGAATCAAAATAAGTATTTTTACATTTCATCACTATGTGAGGGTAAAAAAAAAAATTGAGAACAGAAAAGGGGAAAAGGGATATGTGGTTTTAATTCATTTTTAAAATCTTAACATTTTAAAAATTATCTGACAGTGAAAATGTAATCTATTAACACTGTCTTCTGTTGCTCTTTCCAGATTCAATGAAGCAATCTGCCTATCAATCAAAGTCCATTCGTTCTAAAATCTCTGTCCTATGTTGTCCCACCTTTCACATTTTATATATAGGATTAAGTGTGGCAGGTCCTCTCTTGCCAAAGATGTAAGGTTTGACTGTAGCTCCATTATCATCACACTCAGCCTGGGTAATGTGTTTAGGAAGCTTGAGAGATCATCCCAAAATAGCGAATGAAACAAATATTGTCAAAAACATGGTACAAAGTGAATTTAGGGTAAGATCATTAATTTAAAATGACCCTGATATTTAGGAATAACACCTGCCCTCTGGACATTATCCAATATAGCAAAAAAACAAAAGTGAAGTCACTTAGGCTAGGTGGTGGATTGTGAAGGGGCATGTGACAGTGACACTATAAGGCTTCCATTAAGTATGCGCTTCTAAACATGTTTCCTAATGTGTAAACTTTTTTGCTAATACTTAATAATGTTGATGCTTTGCCCATTATTTTTTTATTTTTACCACTGTTATGCTACAAACTGTTTAATGAAGGGTTGATTATGGTAATTTTTATGTGTTTAGTAATAACCACACCATCATTTGTACAATCACTTTAATAAATCCAAGTAAGGACTTTGAAGAGAGAATGTAGTAACTGTTCATTTTAACAAATGATGATAGGCACTTTGACAATTCAAAACCCCACCAAAAACAAGCAAGCAGCAAAGGTGTAGACTATACTGAGAGATATCGTTCCATTTATTCTAGAAGTCCTATTATCTGGTGTTATTTAATGACAATATCCCCTCTGACATTTGCCAAATCCAAATTAATATCAAAAGCCCCAAGAACGAGAGACCCTAGCTTTGAGCACAAGCAGATTACTGTGAACTGTAAAGGTAGCAGGTTGTGGTGAGGGGACCTACAGGGGCAGGACTATCCCTGAGCCACTTGCTGCCTCTGTAGGTGAGGGTATCAGCTACACTCACCACCTCTTGTTATGAGGAAATTCAAGGTTAAATGTGACACCATGCATCATTTCAACATGTTTCTGTATTAATTAGACAACATATAATTTAGAATGTGTTCATGCAAAAGCATAGATTAAGTAACAGTCAAAGAATTGGGGGAAAAGACCTTCAGAATATCTAGACATTAAAAATGTATAAAGTAGGTTATCAAAAATTTGTATTAGATGTTTATCATGCAGAGGTTGTATTTAATAGCAATTGCTGACACCTGGACTAAGATCAGTGTAAGGCAGTTTTTCTCACTTCTTACCTATTCAAATACAAGGCTCCTGTTCAGAGAACTGGCTAATGCTTTGTTTACATGTTAGTGAGGACAGAATTCTAAAGCTCCTTTTTGTAGGACTGATGGCACAGGCCAAATCACATCAAAGGAAAATATTTTGGAACTTTTTTTTAGCACAAAAATGCAAAGTTAATTGCAGTGTAGTCAAAGTCAGAATGTAAAGAAAAGCATTTTTAAGAAATTATGAAAAAATCAAAGGAGCATAATTTAAAAAGAAATATTTTAAATTAAGAAAATTTTATTATGTCATGAGTCTTGCTGATATTTGTGCTCTTTCTGAAGCTAAGGAGATGACATAGAAGAAAACGAACATATGAATTATTTGTAAAGTTAGTAAGATTACAGTCCCACTTCCATCCTTTCCCAATGAAAATGGATGTGTGTGTACTAAGTCACTTTTACTGTCCTACGTTCTGTTCACTTTCCGAATCTTAGACATGATTTTATCCTGAGTCCTTAGAACTTTTGCATTTTTGAGAAGAGAATAGTTTTTTAGAATTTTTAAAAATTAGTAAGCTAGACTAAATGACAGACCTCCATCTGAGAGTGGGCATCTGAGAGTGCCCAAATAGAACAGAAGCCAGATTCAACAGTCATAGCTACAACAGAGAATTAACTATGCTGGCAATTTCCCAGTGTCAACATGAACACTAGTGGGTATTCCATTCAAACAGACAACTTCATAAACACAAACTACAGGGTAATTTAATGTTCTTGCTTCTTAGAACATTAGAAAGTTAGAAGTTTTCTAACCCATATAATGCAAAGGGTTATGTTTGCTCATATAATTAAAAATATCAACCCTGTAGAAATAAGGTCTTAGACATCTTTAACCCAAGAGAATGATGTCTCTTGTGCAAATTTTAAATTCCCAGCTGTCTTAGTATATGTAAGGACAAACAGTGGCTGCTCAGTGTAATCATGAAAAAAGATATAAATCCTGCTATGTGGGAAATTACTCAAACCATGGGACATTAAGCAAGAATACTCCCCCAATTTAGGCTCCAAGACTACAGCCAGACAGTCTTTATATGTTAATCATCTTGATTGCCCTTTTATCTCAGGCTTATATGACGAATATGGGATAGTAAAACAAAAATGGAAAAAATCCAATAGCTTTTGCTTCCCTTTTAGAAAGTAGTGTTTGTCCCTTTTTAGTTTATCTGAAGTATACGTTCACATTGAAACATTGTCTACAACATAGTCTTCAGTTTATTCTTCAATTAATAAAGCAAATGGTTTTGATTAATAGATTTACACAACTTCAATTCAGGTTATATTGAGTTGAAATCTGTTTTGCAATGCCTCAGCATTTCTATGGTCTGTCAGAAAAAAGAAATAAAAAACGAAAGAAATTTTAATGAGTTAAGAAGAATGATAATTCTGACATCCTAGGAAATGTCATGAAAAAGTTACTCCAAAACACCTTAGTGTGAACAATGTTCATACACATAATTCCTATATGCCAAACATATAAGTGTATTTTTTAATATAAGCAACACTGCTTTGGTAGCAGATTGATCTACTTTATGAACAGATTTAACTGGGAAAGTCACTACTCCTGCTATAAGTAAATCTGCTTGCATACTTCATTTTTCCTTTATTAATTTTTTTTAATGCCTACTATATGCCAAGCAAGAGAGCCTAATAGAGTGTATCTAGTGCTGAGCACTCAGGTACCGTCTATGCCTTCTTGGCACTTACAGCCCAGAGGAGGCCCCTCACTACTGGCTGAATGGGGTGAAAATTGGCAGCTTTCATGATTTCCTCCAATGGGCTTAGATTTGTGAGGATGGCAGAATTACAGTAATTCTTGCCTACATAACAAAGAGTAGATGGTAAAAGATTGAGGATATCTTGCCCACATTTAAACAAATTATATGAAATGATCACACCATGTTAGGTCACTAAGTTTCCCAAGGATAGAGTGGGCAGGTGAGACAGGGAGCGTCTGGGGCAGGCAGGGCACAGGCTGTCCCAGGGGGAGGCCACCACTGGACACCTCCGTCCAGGAGGAACGCAGCTATGCAAGAGTTCGGCAGCAGCATGGTCAAAGCCAAGGGGCCTCTCCCTCCAGGATCCTTCTGGGAGGACAGTCACAGAAAAGGAGAACAGGGAACAACGAGGACATCTCTCCATGGCCTATTTTTATTTTTTGTTCCCAACCTTGTGCCCCTAAAGAGAATCCAGAACAGAGAATGTTTACCGTCAGTATTCCTGAGTATATAAACTAATGAATTCGCTAGAGAGAAAAACAATTTCAGGAATTGTTTTTCAGGAATACAATCATTTCTTGATTTTGAATATGAATGGAAGACTAAATGTCAGGATTTTTTAAAATCATAAACTTGGTATCCATAGTTGCTTTAAACATTGCAAAGTGTAGGCATGGAATTTTAGTTTTATATTTTGAACAAGAATAGCAACATCTATTTTCTGTATGGCAAAGCAAAACTAAACACCAGACTTTTACTTTGAAACACAGAAGCCATCACTTTTTAAATTCTTTGCCTGGTCATCTTCCCTACACATCTCTATGCTGACTGCTTCTTTATCCAAGTAATACTAGCTACTGCCAAATTACATTAGAATCCTATTGAAGTACAAATAGAGTGGATGATAAGATACTGGACGATCAGAAGTGGGGTTGTTTTTTGTTATTTTTAAGCCTGAGAACATATAAAAAGGAAATTCAAATTAAGTCAAGCCAATTTCTGACTTGGTAGGATTAAAACCATAGGTAGAGCCCAGTTATAAAGGAAGAAAATGTGGAAAGGAAGGTTGGAGAGAACAGGAGAAAAAAAATTCACATATTTGAGAATGTTTTTTATGAATGGTATAGCCAAAAATTTCTGATCTTGTTCCCTGATGAATTTTGAAAACAGTGATTCTGGGTAGTCTTTTACTATACCAATTTCAACACCATGAAAGGTTTTCCAATCAGCACTTTCTTGCTATTTTAAAAATCATGAGAGGTTGTTCAAAAATAGACACCAAGATCTATAATTTAGCACAGTGCTTTCTTTTAGGAATCTTCAGATTGTATTTAACAATTAAATCACAGGTCAAAATGACTGCTCAAATCCATCAGGCTTTCTGCTTAGTCCCTGAAAAAAATAAACACAACAAAACCTTGGCAAAACCTTGTTATTCTTGGTACTCTTTTTAAAAAGGGTTTTTTATACCTACTATTCTATATTTATCTCTAAGAGACATTTGAAATACAGCTAAAAGGTCAATTTGGTGTAGAGCACCGAGTATATGCCAGTGCAGTCACTGAAGATGCATGGCGTGTCATTCAGGACCCTTTGATGTGTGCTATGGGTAGATTTACCCTTGTCAAGACACATGTGTTCATGCACTCACTGATTCTGTGTTCTTATACACAAAATGAAGAGCTAAAATTCACCCTTGATGACAAGATTAAAGCAAAAATAAATATATTAAAATTACTGGACTTTACACGTGGGATTGCTGCTATCCTTTTCCATTGGTTAAGCTCATTTTGCATTCTAATGTCGGCTCTGGAATTTTATACTTTTTCAATGCTTTTGTGTTGGAGTGGCTATTGAGTTGGAATTCCTGTAGAAAGCAGATCAACCTTTATGGGCCGAGGATAAGACCAAAGCATAACAGAAGCAAGAGATAGGAGATATTGAGACTTTAGGTGCTTTCATTTGGAACAGGAATAAGCCTGGCTCTGGTTCAAAACAAGACAACTTTTTAAAATGTATGCAACAGAAATTGTTTATTGTTAGCCTAACACAACTTTTACCCAGGTTTATACCTCATGAACTGAGTTTATATAGTATATATAACCAGTATTAGGTGATAAAGGCTAGCCAAACATATATATAGCAAACTCCAGAAACATGGCAAGACATACCTCTGAGAAGAGTATTCAGAAAAAAATATCCATCTGCAAAGGTTTTCACAAGATGCAGGAAGGAACACTATGGAATATGGAGGCACAGTGAAATATATATGTACACATGCACACATATAATTACATTTTTAGGTATTTTAAAGATGAAATGCTGAAGTGTGAACAGCACTGGGACCCAGATGAAGGACAATAAAAGTCAGCCATCAGGTTGCTGAATTTGAAATTGGGTGTAACAAAGCAGAAAAACAAGGCACTGGGTTATTTTTCTTTCCGTTAAAAATAACATTTGATATCCAGAGTAGAAAATGCAGCCCACAAATTCTGGTCTTACACAGCATGTTTGAAAATGTCTATCATAAAAGTGAGTATGATTAGAGGTTTCAGGATGGATATTTTTCACCTGGGTTAGAGTCATAATTATGGACTCTTCCAGTACCAGTGACA